AAGACCTTCAACCAGACAGATTGACACAGTCGCTATGGCAATGAGCTCAAGTGTATCTGAGATGAAAAGAATGGCTCAGGATAAGACAGGGTGGAGATATCTGTTCATAGGGTTGCTATGAGTCATATTCAACTCAATGGCACCTAACAATGACAACAGTAGCAACGCAATCCATATGTTGAGCCAATAATTCAACAAACTGGACTCTACAAAAAAGAATGTGGCATCAGAATTGGAGGTGGATTCATCAACAACCTACATCGTGCAGTTGACCCAATCTTACTTGTAAAAGCGAAAACTTGACATACAGACTGAAGAAGACCGAAGATGGATTACATTTCAGTATCAAGAAAATCACAATCTTCACCACTAAACCTATAGACAACATCATGGTAAGTGGAGAAAAGATTAAAGTCATTAAAAATTTAATTTCACTTGGTTCCATAAGCAACATTTATAATAGCCCTGTCAATAGATTAAAAGGTGTGTTGATTTCTGGTGTTGTGTGCCATCTAGCCTGACCCCCTCCAGCAGGTTAGGTGTTCAGAGGCAGTAAATTGCATGAGAGGAGACTGCTCATGCTTTTCCTGCAGAGCAGTTGGTGGATTCAAACTGTATGCCTCTGGGATTGCAGCACAGCTTCTTACAACTATGCCACCTGATCTCCCTCAATCTGACAACAGGACCACTTAACTATCATTCTTTTTCATTCCTTTATCAGGAAGTTCCAATAGCATTTCTTCCTCTGAAAGATTCCTAGGTTCTGCATTTTGGTCATTGGTTTGTGCTATATTGTCATATTTCTGCGTATAGCCTGAAGTTGCCTTTTACTACCGAGACATCACGGTGGTCTCTGTATTACCATGTTTAGATACACTTTAGCATTTCTTAGTCTTCTAGCTCCTTTCTTCTGGTGGTTATGACAGAGGATGACTTTATGTGTGAAAATCTGTGTGCAGTATATATGGAGCAACTGAGGGCACACTGACCTGCTATAGGTTATAGTCTTTGGTCAGGTAGATGGGGAGGAACCTGTCATTAGTCTTGAACAATTGGTGAAGCTGCAGGACATGTGTATGTGGCTGTCTCATTATAGTTTTTCTCTATTGCAAGGTGGGGCAAAGAAAAGTGAAGAGAACTCATTCAAAATGTACAAACACGAGCACACAGTAAAAGGAAAAATCAAATCTGAGGAGAGTACAAAAAGGACAATCAGAACACAAAGGCAAGAAGAATGCAGGAAAGTGGGGGAAAGGCAGGCAAGGCAAGAAAAAAAGCCAAAGAGGAAAAGAATTAAAAGCAGAAGTAACTGGTGTGGGGAGAACAAGAGAAAGAAAACTTAGGAGATAAAAAGGAGGGAGCTTGCAGGAAAAAGCACACCTGTTTGGTGTTTTGTCACTCCTGAGAATGGGGGCAGAGTCTAGTCTGGGATATGTTTTTGAAGATTGGGAGAGTGCTCAAGGCTGGGTGTCAAGTCACAGGAAGCACATGTGAGGACGGAATATCTTTATGTAAGTAGACTGTCATGTCTTCTCCCACTACGTACACGTGTCTCTGTCTGTGTGTATACACATAAATGTATATATGTTGTTACTGGGTACTGCTGAGTGGGAACCGAATCAAGTATACACATACACATACACATAAACCCCTACAGGGGCGATATGGAGCCATGGCAATGCAATGATTACATGCTTGCCTGCTAACTGACATCACCTATTAGAACCCCGAAACCACTCAATGAGAGAAAAGACCTATCAATCTGCTCTCCTGAAGAGCAGAGCCTAGGAAATTTTATGAAACAGACCCTGTCAATAGGGTGGTTGTTTTAAGTTTCTCGTGGCCTCTATTCCTTCATTTGCTTTGAGATTATGGGGGAGGAATTTAATCGACATACTCATTCCATTTGTCTGTGGCCTTATTTTTGTATAAATAAGAACATAAAAATTTTACAGTTCATTTAAATGGGTAATATAAGATTGCCAGCCATAAAAACTAACTCCAAAAATATTACTATATACTTCTCTTAAGTGTCTACTGGTGGCCTAGTGGCAAGAAGTTGCGCTGCAGTTACGAAGGCAAGTTCCACTGTGCCATTAACTGCCTGTGACAATATTATGGATAGTTTCCTCCTGTCCGATTAACTAACGGCGCCTGAAAACCCACTGGAAGGTCAGCTTTGGGTCTGTTCTGACTCTATGGAACACAAAAACAACAAATGCCTGTTGTTGTTGTTGTTGCTGCTGCTGCTGCTGCTGCTGCTGTTGTTATGTGCCGTGAGTCGCTTGCGACTCATAGCGACCCTATTTACAACAGCCCTAAACCCTGCTCTATCCTGTGCCAAATGCACTGCCTCTGACACACCCATCCCAATTATCCCAGTCACTGAATCAATCCACCTCATAGAGGGTCTTCCCCTCCTGCACTGTCCCTCCATCCTCCCAAGGATGATGTCCCTCTCCAAGGACCGGTCCCTCCTTACTACTTGTCCAAAGTATGTCAGACGAAGCCCCAGAATCCTTGCCTCCAAGGAGTAGCCTGGTTTAAGCCTCTCCAGGATGAATGTGCTTGTTTTCTTGGCAGTCCATGGTACATTCAATACTCTTCTCCAGCACCACAGCTGAAAGGCATCAATTCTCCTTCTATCCTCCCTAGTCATTGTCCAACTCTCTGATGCATAACAAGTGATGTTGTTATGTACAACAACTGCTTACTAACTAAAAAATATAAGAACAAGATCAGAGCAGAGCTAAGTTAAAACAAGCAATTCCTTATTTAGTCCTTTATAACACAAGTAGGGAGCACTGATGGCTTAGCGCTACCAACCCAAAGGCATGCGGGTTTGATTCCACCAGCTGCTCCATGGCAAGCATGCAAAGACGGGCAATCTCCCCTCATTTGATTAAATGCCTCTGACAACCCACTAACAGGTCAGCTATTGGTCAGTACTAATGCCATAAGCTCACAAGAACAACACACGTAGGAAAAGAGAGGTAAATGTTAACAGTTATACTTCATTCTTCATGCTACCTTCAGAATCATGACTGTACAGAATGTCATTTTAAGAGCCACAAGCAAAAGTGAAAAAGTCAAATCCTAGTTATTACAGTTACCTCCCTTGTCAAACCACAAGGGCAGAAAACTGACATAACTTTAAAATAACCTCACAGATGATCCAAACAAAGCAATGTAGTTCACAATCAGCAAGAGGCTTGTTTTGCCTTCCCGAAGCTAAGCCCTCTCCATACACTGAAAAGGGTAGCACAACCGGAGCCAACAAAAGTCAAAACAAAGCAAAAAAATAAGCAAAGGAAACAATTCAGTGGATTAGCAAGCATGTTTCAGAGTTTTCCCAGTTCTCCACAGTTTGGGTCATTTGGCAGGTCAGGTTTCAGATAAAAATGGAAGAACCAAACATCCCTATCTTTTTTTTCTTCTTTTTTAATTCATGCAGAGGGTGTCACTACTGTGGAAGAGACAAAGGGGAAAGTTCCAAAACTGTTTGGTAGCTTAGTTTCTTCTATAATGTAAGCATAATGTGTTCATGTCTACTTATTCCTTCTCTATTCCTTTATGAAACAGAAATAACTAGATAAAACACAAATCATAACAAGAGACAGAGAGTAGAAGCACTGTGCAATCCTACACTGATGTCAGATTAAATTCTCAGAGACAGGAGGGAATGCTGAGGAGTTCCAGAGCCAAGGCTAAAGTAGAGACACCATCTCCAGATTGTGTGAACTTCTAGTTTTAGTACTGAAAGTACCACATTCCAGGAAACTTCTAAATTCTCTGAAAACCAAGAAAGATGATCACACTGATGCAAGAGATAAGAGAGAGGTGAGAGATGAGTCTGTAAGGAGAATAAATGGGGAAAAAGAACGTAGACACTCAGAAAATGGGAAAGGATAGAAACGCTATCCAAGAGCTGAACTCCAGGGAGAAAGAAAAAGAAAAGAAATGTAAAGGAACTAAATAGATTTGTTCTGGTGTCTCGAAGCGAGGACTAACAAGTAGAGAAATGAAATCAGTACTCACAAAGGGCAGTTTGCCAGCTGACACACAGGGATGTGGTTTCTTCCTGAACAGCTCTGAGGCCCAAAACACACAAGAGCTGCCTAGCTTTACCACCATTCAGGTATCTGTCATCTTGTCTAAAAAATCCAGCTGCTCTTGGCTTCCCCCTTTTCTCCTTCTGTCATTCACAGCCCCTGAAGTGAATCACACACTAGATCCCTATCAGAAATTTCTCTATGGTGATGTTTCTTGGCACAGATTACCACAAACTCTGACAGAGCCAAGGCAACAGCAGAGGAAGCACCACAAGGGAACTAGAGCTGGTTAGAGTGTAATAACTGAGTCATCTGGGGATTCTACAAAGAAGAGAAAATTAGGGAAGTTAAAGGGATAAAGTTAGTCTATAAATTCAAACTGAAAAAACAAAGATGGTAGCTGGGGACTGTGGATCAAATAAGAGAGGGCAGAGACCTCAGAGAAGTCAGTAAGTTGCCCTAAGGCTTTTCATCTCTGGAGTATTTACTCCCATACACCTTCAAACTCGTATATGTGTAGATTTTGGGAGCCAGAAACAGAGAACTGCTTATTATTCCTATAGATCCAAAATGCAGTGGAAAAAGAAAGAGTAATAGGTCTACTAAAGTAAAATTTACATAATGGATATTTACAGAAAAGCAGTTCTTAGGAAGGCAAAGAAAGGGTGGATGTCACTTTCTGAAATGAAGCAGAGAGTGAGGCAATACTCAGGAAGGTGAGTCTAATAGTTCTGCCCAGTAGGCATTCCCAAAGCCAAGTTTAACAAAGTCAAGTCATGGCTCTGGAAAAGAATGATTAGCTTTATTAACTTCCAGTAATGTAAAACAGAAATGGCTACATTGTCACAATTTTATTAGTTATTCTAATCTACAATTCTATAAATTATATTCAAAAATGTAAATTGATAAATGTAATGACTGACTTAATTTTAAAATGTGGTTACTTACTTCGTAGTTGTCTCTTTATTTCTTTTGCAGGATCTAGCCAGTTCTGCACAAGGGGGAAAAAAGCATAAAGAATATTTAATTCAAAAACCATTATCTAGAGTCCAAATCATAGCAGCTTATATGCATTTAAAGGTTTATATTTCACTTAAATATAATTGTTTGTTTTTTCACTTAAATATAATTTAATAAAATCCTATTCAGAGCTATTTTCAGCTATAAGCATTCCACTGGGCTAACTTATTTTTCAAATGTGTGTGCTATGTTTTATAAGTAAAATATTCAAATGCTTTTAAGGTTGGTCTCTGAAGACTTCATTCTATTAAACAGTAAATGAAACATCCAAATTTTTATTATATATGACACACATGCATATAGATTTTATTTTATTTATAGAATAATAAGTAAACAGCCTCAGAACATCTACTTCTGAATATGCACCAAGAATAGGACATTGAGCATCTACAGTCTATCAGGCAGCATGGACAATAACGTGGAGCTTGGTCAAGGACACGAAGTTGCTTTTTACCCTCTGTCTCAGTGATCTAGTGCAACTACTATAAAGCTACCGCAAGCAGACAGCACTAACAAGCAGAACCTTACTCATTCACAATTTGGAGGCTAGAAGTTCAGGATGCTGACTTTAGAGGAAGGATTTCTCAAATATTCTAATTCTAGGAGTGTCCCAGCAGGTCCAAAAAGGCACACAAAGCTTTTTTGGCACTTTCTTCTCAGTGGTACTGAGTTTTTTCTGCTCAGTTCTGTTACCTCTTCTAAAACAAAAGGTGGTATAAACCACACTCCAGAAATGTCTCTTACATCCTAGTCAGGGTTGTGACTAAATTAAAACTACTGTATCCAACTCAAACTCATTTTGACTGATCACGTCATGAAGAATGACTACATCATTACATAACTGCCTCTAATACAGTCTCATTAACTTCATGTCATTTTCATTGTCATCCAATCAGAACTGACGCACAGTTTGCCCTCCAATGGATTACTGGAAACTCTAAGTTACAGAGGAGGAGATTGCTCACCTCTTTCCCTTAGAGTTACTGGTGGAGCTGAACTGCCAGATAGGTGCCATCTTTGGATTAGGGACACAATTCGCTAGGGACTACACCACCACTAGAGCTCCATTATGAGCATCATAGATGTTGGAATTTACAACAAATTGGATAATGACAGAAAACAGACATATACTGGCACAGATTTTGGGGGAACACAATTTAATACATGACAATCATCAAGACATTTTACTTAAATCTGACAAGTATCAAAAATAACATATATTCAGGCTTAAACAGAATTTCATCCAGTCATGGCTAGCAAATAGTTAAAAGAATCAGTATGCAGAAAAATATTAACTTACTATCTTAATAGTATACTTAGAAGAAACAAGAGAATATTAATATATACTGTTTTAAAAAATTAAAAAGACACTAACAATAGGAAACTCTGAAAGCAGAGTTAGTTAGGTGGACCCCTATGGATTTCTCCACACTATTCTAGTTTGCCCTTAGGCAGCAAGGATCCAAGGTGTGCTTGGCTCTGTTAAAACATTGGTTATATTGAAACCTCTCAACAAAGAGCCACCAGAGTTTGACAGTTTTATTATCATTTGTGTCCCAGCTGCATGGGATTCCAATGGTACCTTGAGTCCTATGTTAGGGAGAAGCACTAATTCTCCCTTCAGAAAAGAGGGTCATTCAGCTTCCGCACCCTGCAGCTGCTGCCACACAAAACAGCTGGCTCACAACTGACCAGCTATCATGAGTGTACAAGAATGAGAAAAACACACCATTCAGTGTCTAGCCTTCAAACTGTTCTGAGAATCGTCCACAGTGTTCACCAGACTGTCAGAGGACAGTCAGATCCATGGAATTTCATCTAAGGCATAACAACGCCAGTAAGAAAAACTGAATCAGGGAGACAAATGGTCCAAACTAAAAAGGAGGTGGAAGGATACTAACATAGATCAAGAAGGGGGCAGGAGGAGAAAGTGCAGGCTGTAAAGGTCTGGACAGATCCTTTAAAATGTCTACTTTCATCTGAGTAGCAGTTGGTACTGATTTCTGCAATAGAAGGACAATTAAAGATCTCTCTATACTGAAAGACCTCAAAGAACTGCTAAGTTTCTCTACAGGTTTTTTTACCTCCTGACATCATGCTAAAGTGAGATGATAAAGGGGTGAGGTGAAGCTGCTTCCTTGATTCTGAGGAGCCCCCTGTATGCACGGACTCCAAGACAGGTTTGTATGTTCTTTTGGCATTCCATGGTATATTCAGTACTCTTTGCCAATACCACAATTCAAAGGCATTGATTCTTCTTTGGTCTTTATTTAGTACTCAACTTTCACAAGCACATGAGGTAACTGAGACTTGATGACTGAGTTAGGCACACTTTGGTCATTAGCTTATTACCCTTGTTCTTTGGCACTTTAAAAAGGTCCTTGACAGCAGATGTGCCAGTGAAATACATCTTTTGATTTCTTCAATGTTGTGACCATAGGTGCTGGCTGTGGATCCAAATAAACTGAAATCCAAGACAATATTCATCTTTCCTCTTTTTATCATAATGCTGCCTGTTGGCCCAGTGGTGTTGAGTTTCATTTTCTTGATAATCAAATGTAATCCACAGTAAAGGTATAATCTTTAGTCTTCTTCAGTAAATCATTTTCGTTTTCTGCAAGCAAGGTTGTGCCATGCAATCCTGAAGACACATTCTTCTTCAGGGTTCAGCTTCTCAAATGATTTGCTCAGCAAACAGAGTGAACAGAGAAGGAGAAAGGACACAAGCCTGATGCAAACTTTCCCTGATTTTAAAACATGCAGTTTTTCTTAGGTCAAACTGAACCAATGCTTCTCGGTCTACGTATACAGGTTCTGCAAAAGCACAATTAAGTATTCTGGGATTCCCATTCTTCTCAATGTCAGCTATAATGTATTATAATCCTCACAGTCAAATGCCCTTTCATATTCAATTAAGTACAAGTAAACAGCAATGGTATCCCTCATTCCATGATCTCTTGTTGGTGTGCTGCTCCAGTAATCTCTAAATAATCTTCAGCAAGGGTTTAATGGCATGTGATATTAAGGATATTCATTGATTATATCCTCATTCTGTTAGATTATCTCTTTTTTTAGAATGAGAACAAATTTGCATTGTTTCCAGGTGGTTAGCCTTGTCCTCCGCATTTCTTGGTATAGATCAGTGAGTATGTCCAGTGCTGCATCAGTCTGCCAAAACACTTTAGTTAGTTTTCCATCAATTCCTTAGGCCTTATATTTTTGACAAATACCTAAATTAGGTATGAAAAAACTTAGAATAGAATTCAACCATAAGACTGGTGTTAAAACAGACATTTTACTTTAAAATGAAACATTTACTATACATCTGAGAGAATGTGATTCAAGCATTAATTTAACTAAATCCAAACTATTAAGATTTAACTGGCCTGAATGTAGAATTTTATTAAAAAGATAATTATCTATAACAAGCAACCTATCATTCTAGTTTTTAGTTCTAATTTCTTGAATAAATGATCCAGCTATCCAGACAATCATTTTCATTAACTTTTACAAAGTTAGTTGTGGATTATCAACATAGCTTGCAGCAAAATGCCATTATTAATTCCTGGGCCAAATGCCAAACCCTATTAATATAAAATGTCAAGACAATATTTTTCTCTTTTAAGAGAGCTCAAAACTCTTAATGATGGTTCCACATAGACATGAACACAAGAAATATACTGATTTGGAATTCCTTATATAAAAGAATAGCATGTTGTTTGATTCTACATATTTTCAATAATAATTTCCATAGTAGAGTACTAAACAGAGATTAAAAAGTTCTACCAAAGACAGATTTCATATCTGAAGTTAACTGAAAGACTTACAATACAATGTCTCAATCATAAAATACACAGCATACATACATGTAACAAAAGCTTAGCTATTTTTCTCTACATTGAACATTTTCATGAAAATAACTGTGGCCTTGTGGCCTTTATATTTAAAAGAAAAGCAACAATAATTTCTCTACGTACATATAAAAGAAAGCTACTTATGCTCCTGTATCCTAAATTATCTTACTATTGAAACTTCATGGGTTTCAAAGAAAGCAGAGTTACTTAAGTACTGAGTTTTGTGTCGGTTTGTGTTGACCACAGTATTTTCTCTTGGACTATTAACTTTAACTTTAGCTGTTTTCTTTTCTGTAATCACTTTCCTTTCCTAAGCACCTCTACTTTTCTCAGTCAATTGTCCTGTCACCATAAATGCAATGAATATTTCTAACTAGGCCTGAATATTCTCAAATACTACATACAAATTACTTGTGGCAATCAGAAAAAAACATGCATATATTCTGTTGCCATCACAATTTCAAGATTTCTAATTTCAGCTTGACTACTAAAAGCCATTAACATACTGAGGACCCTAGACTATATAGTCACTAGCTGAATGTTTAACTGTTAACCTAGGGGTCTGCAATTCTAATGCACTGGCTGCTTCACGGGAGAAGGACGTAGTAATCTGCTTGTGCAAAGATTTACAGCCGTACAGACAGTGTGGCAGTTCTATTCTTTCCTATGTGTGGGAAGCAACTAATAGCAATGAGTTTGGATTTTGGTTATTCACATATTGTTCTTAGTTGGATGCCTCTCAGTGCCCATCACTATCCTAGTGATCTGTAGCAGGTAATTTTACTTAGTGATTGTGGAGGGCACTTTGTGGCAAATACAGATATATTTACAACTGTACCACTCTATCTTTTCTTCAAGGTAAATACTGTTCATATTTTTAGCTCCCATGTTGCAAGGAGGGACTGGTCCTTGGAGAGGGACATCATGTTTGGGAGATTGGAGGGACGGCGCCAGGAGAGGAAAACCCTCGATGAGATGGATCAATTCTGTGAGTGGAGTGATGGGAATGAGTGTGTTTGAGACGGTGAGGTTGGCACAGGATAGAACAGCATTTAGGGCTCTTGTACATAGGGTCGCTATGAGTCTCAAGCGACTCAATGGCACATACCAACAACAA